TACGAAAAAAGAACTAAACAAAATGAACACAAAATGATCAGCTTTAAAAAAAGGACTCGTAACTGGAAAAACTAAATGAAAAAAGAATGTTAACAACAAATAGTTCTGCGGAATCAGAATCAACATTGAGTTTAAGCAAGCGAATGAGCCAATTGGAGTAAAGTGCCATGCAGATTTAAATTTTTTCCACTTGTGACGAATGCAGCTATCAATATTTTTTGCATGTTAGCATGCTAGTTAACATTCATGGCAGTCAGCTTTTGGCACTTAAGCTGACCAATAGAATCTTCCTGCCTATTCGTGGCAGCCAGCTATAGGCTCTCACTCTGGCCAGTACAAAATGGCTGCAAACTACATGAAAAGTGCTGTAGAAGCATGAAAAAATCGATTATTTCCACTATCGATGTGAGTTGGGAAATGCAAAGTCAGCCTTGGCCTTTCCACTTACTTGGAGCATGTGCATGTAAATTTTGGTGCAAATCCATCAAAAATTGCGGCCGTGCATTCATTACACAGACACACACATCCTGCCTTTTATAGATAGAGATAATTTACCCATCACACCCTCTATATAGCCATTTCACCTGTAAAATGTTGATTGAAAAGAAACATATTGGATGTTCCTGGATGGCCAAACCAATCACCATATGATGGGGAGTTTATGGAAAGGGTTGAAGTTTAAAAATATTGATCCTCTAACCCTGCTTTAATTAAAGGATACCCCATGAAGAATGAAATGGAACTAATTTAATTACAAAATTAAATTCAAAGCTTTTAGCTTCCATTTTTGAAACATGGTTAGAACTGTGTAGCGAAAAAAACATATTTTAAATCAATTAATTTATAATATTAATGCTCTGTAAAATTACATTGAGCACTATTTTGTAAAAATAAAAATATCTATAAGAACACCAGATTATATATCTTACTGTTCTTTTTTTTTTATATATATATACACACACACACACACACACATATATATATATATATATATATGTATATATATATATATATATATATATATATATATATATATATATATAATGTATATTTAGGTGGCAACTTTTCTTTCAAAAATATTTCTTTCAGTATGAGAGACAAGCAAAATTTAATTAATTTTTCAACTATTCTTAAATTTTTCCATTTATGGTGGTAAGGTAGTGTAAAAATGGTTCCTAGTATTTATAGTCCCAAGTGATTTCGGCCACTTCTTTAGTCATTTTCAAGGGGTTTGTCATTAAGTGTTGTTAATTTCTTTTCATGGTTGTCTTTTTAAAATGCAGTTGTGTGATGTCTATATAGCAGTAGTGTTTATTCTGAACCTCACCAAATGAATGTGGTTGGAATTTGATTTGTCATCCTTCTATTTAAAAAAAATATTTAGTACATTTCCATTGTTAAAGAAGGTGAGATCAATACTGTTTTCCAGATGTTTTATATAGAGAGATTCCCTCACAGCAAGATGTTTTCAGTTACAGGATTTAGGAATGTTTTCAGTTACAGGATTTAGGAATATATATATATATATATATATATATATATATATAAAGCTATATTATGTTAAATGGTTAAGCATCATTAATCCTGGTGAGTACCTGGATGGCTGACCATTTGGGAATAACAGCTGTTGTTATCTTGGATGTGCAGGTGCAATGGATAATGCCACAGAATTAGAAATCAGAGACTGCAGATTGTATCAAGTTTGGGTATGTTATATAGACTAATATGTAAATACTCATGGGAAATGTATGAATCCACCTCTTCTCCCACAAGATATGGGTTAATTAGTAATACTTGCATCACAAAACTCTAAAAACATTCTTACCATCTAAAAATATTTTCTGGCTTTAAATAACCTGCAAAAGTTTCATAAGCAGTAGAAAATCAATGAATCAGTCTCTCTCATTCTCTCTCTCTCTCTCTCTCTCTCTCTATATATATATATATATATATATATATATATATATATAAATGACAATGGGAAACCTGTAGTAGTGGACTGAAATGTGTCAGCAACTACTACAGTTTTCCTATTGTCATTATATTTATAAATATTGATTTTCTACAAGTTAAATCTGAGAAATTTTCATATATATATATATATATATATATATATAGTAAAGTTTATAAATCTGTTGGCATATAATCCAATAGATTATATACCAACTGTCGGTCTTTCGATACATGACTGACAAGGCAGATTTTTTTCCCGCAGTAGGTTGCCATTTCTTTCTGCAGTAAACCAGTTGCCATCCAAGGCTATAGAACCCGGTCTGTCCTGCTATTTACTCATAGCTGAGGAGGTAGAAGAAAAGGATTCATACCTATCCCAAGAGTATTAGCAGGTAAGTGAATATCATTCAGTTATGTGCCATACGTAAGACATACTTAGGTGATCATGTATCTTTCGATACATGACTTACGAGGGAGATTATTTCCTGCAGTAGGTTGCCATTTCTTTCTGCAGTAGAGCAGTTGCCATTCAAGGCTATAGAACCTGGTCTGCCCTGCTATTTACCCATAGCTGGGTGGGAGAAGAAGAGGATTCATACCATTCCCAAGGTTATCAGCACAGAAGTGAATGTAATGGATTCAACTGGAATTTGAACTTGGCTCTCCGATT